CCCTTTGTACGAACAAAAGTAAGAGAAATTTAGGATAAGAATACGAACATGTTCTTGCATGAGGCCCAATGTTTCTACAGTTTTTGGTTTCTTCATCAAATTATATCTTCATGTGCAGGATAATAATGCAATAATTATAGAGTAATTAGTATTCGAGTTCAGATGTAAACAATCAAAACAAAAATTCACAAAACAATAATTATTAAATTTGAATATTTCTTCATCGATTTAATAAAAAATCTTGATGACTTACATCTACAACTCCCAGACACACGTCTAACTTTGGCTCTTACTCACCCTCAGGCGGTCTCATGGTTTTGCCGTGCTGCCGGCTCCAGCCCAACGGGTGCAGGTCTGCCGCCATGAGGTCGCACCAGAAGTCGGCACGGCGGTCATCCTGGTATCCTTCGTAGCGCAGCAGCAGCAGCTGGCCACATGTAGTGATGATGGTGGCCACCCAGTAAGGACCGTCAGCCTCTGAGCGCACACACACCTCCAGCTTCATGCCAGGGGTCAGTCCTGTCTGCCGACCCTGGTCCACCTGAGGTACAGAACCATCAAAACACACTTTGTTTAGTTTAGAGACCTTTTAAAGCTGAAAGTGTACAGTTTTAGATTTAGGGTATGTCTGACAGAAAAAAAGGGGCCTTCAAACAGAAGCAATTATTTATGAAAAGCTAGATGTTTATGTCAGCAGTGAAGGTTGTCACCTACATGTTTGAAGGCATGATGGGGCACAGCCACGGCTCCAGTCTCCTCCAGGTAGTCATCCCAAATAAAGTCAGCCACATCTTGAACACACTCTCCATCTGGAACAGTAACGCATCTCTTTTTATTCCTTTTTTTCCCAACATTTTTATCCATGTCACAGATGCAGATTGAATAGTCCTTACCAGACTCCAGCTTGACCTGGCTCATGCTGGTGCCCCGCCCCCTTTAAGGCCGAGACCAAGAGCTCTGAGAAGGAACATACGAGGAGGATTATTATCCAGAATAACCGAGCAACAATGAGTCCAGAAACACAGCTTCTGGTCCAGTCAAACAAAGCTCTGGAAAGAGTGAGCAGGACTTTGGAACAACCAGAGTCTGTTCTATGGCTGAAAAAATTAATCGTTCGTCACCAACAATCAGTGTCATTACTGAGCAAACTGAAGGCACAGGGAATTTTAACCTCTTCCCTCGGTGCCAAAAACAAAAGAAAGACCATTTGTTTCAGACACTGAAAATCTAAAACCGAGGAGTGTTGGGTTTTGTTAAACAATGCTGCCAAATTTTAATATTAATATTCAAAATGGTTCTTTCTCCTCCTGACTTAGCACCTAAGTAGCACCCCAGATGGTTGGTGTTTGCTGGAAAATTTAGTCTCATCAGAGTCACTTCTACTCGCGAAACTCATTTTTCAAAACCTTAATCCTCTTCTTGCCCCGATGTAAAGATTCAAACGGGGGCTTGACACCAATGTGGACACACACGTCAAGTTTTGACACCAGAAGCTGACCCGGGACGTTGTGAGAAGCAGATGAAATAAGTTCTCTCAACAAGAGAGGCTGTGTGAACGGGGAAGAAGGCAGCGCTGGGCGTGACGGCGACGGAGAGCGGTTTGCCGCTCTGTCAGCCCCTCTCCATTCAGTCGACCTGTCAGACTCGTCTTTGTCACATCTGACATCTCTATTAAAAACAGGGGCCCGCCGTCAGAAGACTGCCCCCCCTGCCCCAACCACCGAACTGCCACTGCGACCCCGGTGCTCCTGTGGGATCAGCACCGCCTTTCACCCACGACCCTGCACCAGACCCTCTCTGTCTTTYCCCCCGCTCCCTCTGACACAAACACACACACCAGAGGGCCTCATTGTCCTGGGGAGGGAGGTGGGGGTCACTTTTCCGATACAAGAGGGAGGGGGGAAGAAAAAAAAGAGCAGTAGGGTAAAAAGAAGAAAAACGGCCTGAATTAAACAAGTTTAATCAAAACACTCCAACTGGGCTTCTGTATAGAACAATTTATCAATCCATTAATTCATTTTAAATTAACTAAATTACATTTTTTGTGAAAATGCAGTGTTGAWACAGAATGCTGAATGACTTCTAATCTGATGAAGATGCTAAAATTAATGAAAAACCAAAAAAAACACCAAACACTAGCTAAAAGAAGCTAAATGTTAGCTAAATATAACAAAGCACTGGATTAAAGTAGCAAAAGGCTAGCTTAAGCTAAAAAGCTTGTTTAAATATAGCAAATAGCTAACCTAAAAACAGCAGAACAGTCAATAAAAGTAAAATGTAGCAACAGGGTAGCTAAAACCTAAAATCAGCAGAACTATAGCCAACAAAACTGTTTTTTATGGCATTTAAAGAAGATCAATAATTTCCTTTGGGATAAACATTTGCAAATAGCCAAATATTTTGAACAGTGTACATTTAGCAAAAAAACTAAAGTTACAGCACACATCCGATGAACACTTTGGTTAAAACAGCAAAACATTTGCAGAAGTAGAGTCAAAAACCAATACCTCACTTAATCTTTAAGTGTTTGCGGTAGAAGTTTGGGTAAGTTGTTGAGTTGCATATCTGCAAAGTTAACAGTTACATTCATTTTGTGTTTCAGAAGGTTTTCTTTTTAATCAGCATTCACATATTAATGTGCTTTTCTACAGCTACCTTTGAAATGAATCAAATAGTTTCAGTCTTTTGTTTGATGCGCAACTGAGGAAAAAACTGACTGAATCAGTCAAACAAATAAACCACAAATATTTTCACTTCATTCAACACTACCCACAACACTCCTTTACAAACATGCTGTTTAACTGTTCCAGATAAACATGAGGTGTAGTTTGTAGCAATAACTGCGTAGAAGAACCCAGCCTGTAAAGTCGTACAGTGCAGACAGGAAGAGAAAAACTTCCCCGTTTCGTACCCACTGAATGGTCTGCGTGGACCACAGCAGCCCGTCTGCAGCTCGCACCAACCAACACTGACTGAACCTGAAAGAGAAAGGACCAAATGTGCGCACACTCACCCACACACACACACACACACACACACACTCACCCACACACACACACACACACACACAACTGAGATCCACGCTACATCCTCTTCACAAGCACTTACCGAATCATATTCTCATTAGCACTTAACACCATCCAGCTCTTCTAAAAAAGCCGCTCTGAACTTCTGACGTTCCATAATTCTGACAACAAACACACACTCAGACAAAACTGCTCAACAGTGCCTAAAACGCTACAAAAATGGAACCTGCAGTTCAGCACGACTTCAAAATTAATGCAGCAGAAAATAAGCCAGAATATTTGTAGCTTTTCGTGTTTTTGAACTCAGATCTAACCAATAYGAAGCAACATTTGTATCTTGTTACTTCATGATAAGCAAGTTCATTTTGTGATGCTTGTTTTAAAAAAAAACATAAAACACAAATTTCCTTTGCGCTGCGTCTGGTGTGAGATCTTATCTACAGACTTTGCCCTTGTCCTTCATTCATCGGCTGTGTTTTACTGCAGTTTAATTCCTCAAAGAAAGTACTCTCATCAATGCTTATATTTCTGTAAAYAAACAACAAAGAGTTGAAACAGGAGTAAAATAAAAGCCTGTAAAGCAAAGACTAGGCTGCTTGTATAGAATTACAAAAATAATTTGTTTAATAGATTTCTATAGTTGACGTCCTACAAACTCATTCTAAACACTGTGCTTTAATTCCAGATATTAGTTACATTTACAATAATCATTCATGTAATATAAAGCTGGCTCAAACAAAGTACCACTGACTGACCAGTGCAGACTGAAAAGTGAGTCCTCACACTGCCATGTTTTAAATGTTGTGGCAACGCTTCTCTACAGGACTTGGCTTCAGTTTGTCCAAACAACTGTCAAATACAAAGTCCGATCTGAATGTCACCAAAAAGTTTGACTGGAATTTAAAAAAAAAAAAGCTTTAAGCTCAGACTTTGCTTCTTTTTCCTTAATGTCAGATTTCCCTGTGAACCTTGCAGATACAAGCTGTTATTTGCTGTATACTCTGCTGACGACAGAACTGGAACCACAATGCATCATAATTCAACAGCTTCAAACCTATTTTCATGGTGCCAAAACACACAAATAATACAAGCAAGTTTTTTTTTTTAAATGTTGGCAAGAGAATGCTGACAAACACAACCACGGAGGGTGAAAAACACGTCAGGATGCACGTGTTCATTTTTCTGTAATTTCATTCTGCTAATAGAGCAATTAGTGGAAAATACCAGAATTATTTAAATGGGTGTTTATGAGAGAAAGATTCATTTCAGGAGATTGTTAGTTTGTAGGAGGAAGTATGCATGGAAATCAAACCTGATTTAATGAAGCTGAAAAAAAAAATTTTTTTTACTTAAGAGATTTTTTTTTAGCACAAACCATCTCTTTTTTGTTTGCATCTGTAAAACTGCACAAAAATGGTTTCTATGCAACAAACACAAAAGCAGAAGAGTGCAGCGAAAGCTCAACTGGAGCGGTTTGGTGGAGAAATAGCTATTTCTCACTAGTTGGTTAACAGAAACGTCACTAGGGCTGCAACGATTAGTCGACATCATCGACGTCACTGAATATAGAAATTAGTTGATGCTGAATTTTAATGTTGATACATTATATTATCTACCCACGTAAATGTTAATTTATAACTGCAATAAAATACACAAACTGCTGCGGTCAGAATTCCTGACCCCAGTTGTCAGAGGGTCAAAATGATAATCTGCCCAAGGGCGGCTGGGCAAATGCAATAATATAATACAAGAAATTCAAATACGTTTTAAAGAAAGCTCTTTTGTTTTTTATGATTAAGCTAGCAGCCAGTGCGGTGGTCCACATCTTTTGTTTGTTTAGCTCGTGCATTTGGAGAAAGTTTGATGTACCCTCGGGCAGCAACTTAGGCTCATGGGACATTTCATAAATATATAAAATCTGAGTATTTGTGGTCTAAAGTAAAGTGTGCAAATCTACGTGTGTTTACATCYAGTCTAAATGTCTCTTATTCTTGTTTAATCTTAATATAATAATTCAGAGATAAAGTGAGCAACATGAGTGAAGAMTAATTCACTACAGCCTCTTACACTAAAAAAAATCAAAGTGTTTGCGTTAGATTTACTTAAATAAATTATGTTCAACAGGTTCTACTCAAYTGAATTGAGTAAACCCAAAGCTATTTTTYCACTTAGTTTGTAAGCGAATGTGAAGTAATTGTGTTAGATTTACKCAATTCAGTTAATTAGATGAAAATGTATTTTTTWTTTWTWTWTWTWWWWTTTTTKWKWGTACMGTAAYTGGGTCATGGGWTGTAATGATTGTAAGTGGAAATAYGRTGTTTCCTTACAGGAAAACAAAAGATTACAACCTATTAATCAGGGCAGCTGCTAATGAGCCAAATCAAATGGCTTGATGGGCCAACTCTGGCCTGCGGGCCCCAATTTGGGCACCTCTGCATTAAGTGCTTCATAGTAAATCACTGAATTATAATAATAATCTATCCTGGCTTGCCTTCTTTCATTTTTATTTTTTGCATTGAAGCCTTATTTGAACTTTTGAATGGTCAGATCCAACAAGATTTCAAACAGGATGGATTATTTTCTTACTTTTAGGCGCTTGAGTATGATTTTAACCAAAGTTATTGTATAGTTTATTTTGAACTTGCATACGTCTACACCCTGCGGGGCAGGTTAAGGGGGAGAGGCTGCTGTTTTGAGTTGTGCATTAGCTGCTTGTTTAAAAGACTGCTTGCAATTTAATTTGTAACATAATTTACTTTTTATTATGTTTACAAGTATTKATGTCAAAATGCATCTGAGTAAGCTATTAAGCTGCAAGAAGCAGGGTACACCCTGGACAGTCGCAAATCCATCACTGARACACACGAAGATGAATAAAACACCTCGCTCACACATAGGGATAATTCAGATTAACCAGTTCACCTAACCTGTCTGTTTTTTTAATCTGTGGGAGGAAACTGCAGTCTCCAGAGAAAACCCATTATGTGCAGAGAGAGCATGCAAATTCCACAGAGAAAAGTCATAGCTGAGTTTTAACATCWTGTTTGTGAGGCAGCAGCTCTAACCACCAACACAAACTTATCTTACTGGTTTTATGTGTGGATTAGGGCTGTGTATTGGCAAGAATTTGGCAATACGATACATATCATAACAGAGGGGTCACGATGCGATATAACCCGATATATTGCGATACTGTAAGCAAGGCAATATATTGCCATATATTGAGATTTTTTTGTCAAAAATTCTATTAAATAAAAACCCCTTACTGAAAAAAAAAAAAAAAGCTAATGTTTACTTACAATGCTAATGCTACCGTTACTCTCTGGCGCTCAAGAGGTAGAGGAGCCAAATGGCTGGCTCRCTGCTGCCAACTAGTGGTCAGAGACTGAACTACAACATAAAAATGAACGGTTGGCAAGAAGGTTGACATTTTAAATCTTAATTAAAAATCGATACAGGGCTTTAGAATATCGATACAGTATCAGGAAATGAAATATCGCGATATTTCAGTGTATCGATATTTTCTTACACCTACTAGTGTGGATTTTAACATTGTCTGAAAAAGACGGATGTTTTCCTTATATACAGCTTTGTTTTAAGTTAATTTTAGGAAAATAAAAATTACACGTAAAAGTTTGTCAGAAGTTAAAAAGGTGCTATCATTCCTAAATTTTAATGTGATTATTATTCTTTTAAGGGGCTTACAGCTGTTGCATTTTCTCCGATAGACCGTACAGATGGAGTGCTCCACAGTTAGGAAGCTATCAGAGTTCCCTGATTTTTCCAAGTTATAAGTTTGACAACTTCAGTGGTAAAAAGGGAGAAAATGTGGAAAATGTGGACTAAGTTCACTTTGTTTTAATAAATAGTCAATGTGTAAAACACAGTGCTTATTTGAGCAACTTGTAGAAAAGTTTTATTTATTTTCTTGGCATTAGAAACTAACGAAAACAAATTCTGATGAACCTGATAATTTTCTGCGAGAAACACTCCAAATCTCACACTGATATCTTCTGGTATCATAGCACCAAATCTTACATTTTTAACTATCTAATTTAAATTTAATGAGCTGGTAAATAAAGATGACTGTTTAAAGACCAAGTCTCTTTATTTCCTAATAATCATATTTCTTAATAAAGGTATGCGACTCTAATAAAGCCAGTACCCCAGGTTTGATAAGGTGGTTTAAACAAATTTTAACTTTATGAACTGTTCAGTTCACCTGATGAGTGTAAAAGTTGCAGCAGGATAGGCAGGTGACCTGCCTATCCTGCTGCAACTTTTACACTCATCAGGACCCTGAAGTAAAGCCATGCACAGTGTCCCCCCCTCAAACGACAGGCATGTCAGAGAAGAGCTCCGTGCACTTTGCAGAGACACACACCTCTGCGCAGCGGCACGTCAACAGGAGCTGCGCGGCCACAGGACAACTCAAGTTGCACAACAGGGAAGTTAGGGGCCAGAAGCAACATATTGCGTTACATTAACTCGACGTGGTGGAAATAAAAACAATGAGTAAAATAAAAAATAAATAAATAAAAACACGGCATCAAACTGTCTCCTGCATCATCACATGAGCTTTTAAAAACCGCATTTTGAGTTTGCGTGCAGATCCCAGATGAGGACGTGCAACCTTCATTATGTAAGACGTTTTAAAAAACACGGAGTGAGTGATTCAAGGCCAGATAAGTGGAAATTTCCAGACCAGAACCCTGGAAGTGGATGTGTTTTAAGACTGCGCTGCTTGTTGTCGGGACTAACCGCTGCAGTCAGAGATGGGCCGTGGACGTCTCTCTGCAGACACACCACGGCGCTAACTTTCACTCTCCGAGCACAAGCCCCGACACAAACTGCACCAGCGATGGATAAAAACCCGGGCCCGAGCTCAAACTGAACCGAACCGGACTCTTTTGGACACATGGTGAGAACGCCTGCGGTCCGAGTCAAGTTACTACTGAACGTCACGGCTCGAGCGGAGCAAAGCTCGCGAGCAATAAGAAGGACGCTTTCCACTCGACCGAAGCCGACTCATCTTTTTGAGAGACGGGAAAAAAGACGAAGGCGCCGCTGCGGCGCAAAACACCGTCAGGAGTTCGTACCAAACAACACAAAGTACGTGAATATTTAGTCTCAAAATACAAACCTTACCTCTAAGTAGTTTTTCCAAGTCGTTTTTTTTTTGGATGCCGTGCTCCTCTCCGCCTGCTCGCTCGTTGAAACATTAAAGCCGCACGACTGAGGAAGCTTGGACTTCCGGTTGGACGTTTCAAAATAAGACGCTTAARTGTAAAGCCAAGTAAAATTTAAGATGGGCTGAATAAAAATTAATATTCTGCTATCTTCTGCTCTTTGTAGCTTTGACCAAAAATAACATGTCAGTGTTCACAACAATAACTACAAAAATAGTTTTTTTTAGCAGTTGTCCTGTTAGTTTTTTTGTTCCCCAAAATGCTTAGCACAAAAAGTAGGCCCTAAGTCAATTTGTGTTTGGTAGATTATTTCTTTGTTGTAACAATTCTTCTTGGTAATAAATCTTATGATTGGCATCTGATTGGCAGCACCTGGGGGTACCAGGAGCTCAAAACAAATGCCAATAACAACATAAAAATAAGGGGTTTGGCAGCGAGGATTTGGCAATTCGTCATCCACAACCTGCATACTCAGTTCTAGCTACTGCTCAACCCATAAATGCATGTTCCTTACAAATGTGGCACCATTTTAAATAGAATTTAACAGGCTTTCCAGCAGTACAAGATTAATTGCCAAGAAGCATACTTTATCAAACAAAAATTTCCTTACGTTTTGAGCAAAGTTTATGAATAATACCAAATATTAATGTAATCATACAATTACTCTTTTAGCCTGAAGCTGCTTTATTAATCCTTCTTCCAGCCACTGAATGTGACCTTTCTCTGAAATCCTCTAAATATTATTATTATTATTATTATTATTATTATTATTGTTGTTGTTGTTGTTGTTGTTGTTGTTGTTGTTGTTGTT